AATTAGCTCAGCTTGAAAACAGCCACTAAGCTTGTTGACCGACATTTTAGGTCCTAAATCGACAATTTTAGTCGAAAACACTATGTATATTTTAATCTACTTTCATTTAATGAAATTGAAAATGGTTAAATTTGCCCTTATTATGTATAAAATATGTGAACCGGAGTAGGACAGAATATTAATTGTTTGATATGGCGGCCGTTTAGGGCAAGATCTATTCTAGAAGTAGAGTTGATAGTTCTCTATGAGCAGAATGAGAGCGGCGCTGATTCTTTCTCAAAACAATTTTATAGAAAAATGGTGTACAATATCTCTGCTCGTCATTAAAAAATTGTATGTTTTATAATATAACACATTTTCCACGACTTACATAACAACCAATACAGCACACAGGAACATAACATATCATATTGTATTCATTACAGCCATCGTCCTCGTGATAAGTCCCGCTCTGTCTGTCTTTAAGGGAGATAACTTAGCTATAAGTTCGGGAATTGCAGACCATCTAGCAACGTCTAGATGTTCTAAAATTCGTGGTCGTTGCTTCAGGAACACGTGGGCGACCGTGGCTCCTTGACCCAATAAGAATGAATATAGCCTTTTTAATAAATAACTGCTACTTTTAAAAAAAACATTCTAACATAGAACCACAGAAAGACAAAGGAAGGGGGCGAGAGAGAGAGAGAGAGAGAGAGAGAGAGAGAGAGAAATGGGGTTTAACGTCCACTCGACAGACACAAACTAGGTCATTTCGGGACTAACATACGGTTTATTTTTTTTATTTCAATAATTCGCTTGCGCGTAGGGGTCTTTAGCAGTGGGAGGAAACCGGAGGACCCGGAGAAAACCCACGAGGTTGGACAGGCGACTCTATTCCTTGTCACGTACAACCGGGGATTCGAAACCACGCCAGTTGACTCAATGACATGCTTTATGATACGGCACGCACGTGCTAACCATTCGGCCATCCACCCCCCGACTTGCAATAGGTAGATTTAGCCGTTACATAATGCCTGTTTAAGTTATCTGTACCCATTAACTTCTAATGTGATGTTCTGTGAGTGGTATAATTTCATTTTATCAACTTTTATAAAGGTTATTCAGTAGTCGATGTAATATAATTTATGATATTCGTCTATCAATCATTTCCCTCCAGGCAAATAAATCTACAATACATTTTGTTTATACAAAATCACATAGTTTGTGTAGCGTTGATGTGAAACCCAGTGCACGTTGTATCATAAGGTCTGTCATTGAGTCAACTAGCGTGGTTTCGAATAGGGTCGCCTGTCCAACCTCGTGGGTTTCCTCCACTACTAAAGAGCCTGCGAATTATTGAAATAAAATTGAATCATGTGTTAGTCCCGAAATGACCTAGTTTGTGTCGAGTGGACGTTAACCCCCCTCTCTCTCTCTCTCTCTATTGCAAGTCGTTCTTTATGCCTTAAATTTTATATAACTATTAGTTAGACATTAATTAACTTACCAGGACCATAATCAGCACTCGATGCCATCAACATATTTAAATCCGATCTGCGGTTCAACGGAGGTTGATGATTAACCGTGAAAATGGATAACCTAGACTTCGGTAGCAATTGACACTCGAGGCTATAGTGTTATTAAAATGAGGATTTCTCGGCTCAGATTGAAGTAATTTTACTGTAATTTTCAACATATTCCCTTTACATTATTTATTTATTAACTATTATATTAACTGTCAACTGTCTAATCTTACATAATGCCGCTTTAAAGGAGATCGTCCATCTAATTATGTTCATTGTTCATTAGCCAGAGATAGTGATAGGGAACTATTTTAAGTACGTAGTACTTACTATAAAGTACAGACATTAACAGTATGTAGAACAAATCTCAATATTAGACGACTGAGTCCCTTTAGAACGAAGGAAAACAACAGAGTTTTACAGATTTTCAACACATTACTTCGGTCCTTTTGAGACTAAAACGTGGTTTTTTTCGTCACGTGTGCAATGTAGTGTAAGAATATTTTAATTACGGGTGTACTTCGGTTTTTCGTTCTGTACTCGTCAGTCTCGTTATCGATACGCCATTTATACGTGACAAGGATAAGAGTCTTCGAAACCATAATGGTAGACCGGATATTTTAGAGTAAAGTCCCCTGGCACCAAAACCTTGTCAGCAATCATCTGATGAAGCGTCTTAATGTAGTACGAGGAGGGGGGGGGGCTGTTCGTGAACGGATATCACTTTGCAAACTGTGGCAATTTTCAAATTTAAAAGGAAGGGGAAATATTTACGGGAGATCCGAGGTACGAGGCACACCTCAATGCCGATCAGGTTGCCGCTACCTCTAGCAAATCAAGTTATTGTCTCAAAATAAAGTCGCTATCTATATCATCACAATAAAACACCAAAATTGCGTAATAAATGGCAATTAAAAAAATGTGAATAGAAATAAATGGCAATTCCTCTTTAATAATATATGTGTATAAAGCATGACGTATGTGTATAATATAATAAGACAACAAATGATCTCGTCTAATAAGATTACATACTAATGGCTTCTTGTAAATATGTTTATCTTCCGTTCATCGTCCTCCATCATACATATACATGTATTAACAAATAGTACAAGAAAGAAAGGAGAGAGAGAGAGAGAGAGAGAGAGAGAGGGGGGGAGAGAGAGAGAGTCGAAACCACGCCACATGACTCAATGACAGACCGTATGATGCATCGCGCCCACCCCTCTTTAACAAAATCTTCGATTTTAGACAGACGATCCTATTCCTTCTCCAAGTCATAAGGCTTATGATATTAAGTGCAGACCAAAAGCATCGTCCCAAGAATAATAATAAGAAAAAATGAAATGGGGTTTAACGTCTTACTGGTCTGCTCCAACTGGGCTAATGGAGACGGGCATACGCCATACAGTGTGATATGAGGGGAAATGTTGCCCAGGCAACGGCGCTAAGGCCTACTCTCATATCGAATTCCAAGATTGTTTTACGTGCACGCCAATGTGTACATTAGATGACGGTTTTTCGTCCCATCCGAAAGACTATACTTTGTCTCTCCGTCTTCAATATCCCCGTTGGTGCAGAAAAGTTAGACGTAAAAACACATTTCATTTCAATATATATATTGCACGAAATTGGATTCGATAACATCACGATTATCCCCTCTTAAATGTTTTCAGTGCAAGATTAAATTGCGTCTGCTTATTATTCCGAAAGTCGTTTTATTACATGGTTTTTTTTTTACCAAATCGTTGAATTGAAATAAATGTTAAATATTGCCTGGCGCTGTATAAACATGAATACGTGATCTGTAGAATTTGAGAGGCTTGATAATAAACCGACTGACGATGTTTGCTTATTTTGAAAAACATGGAAAATTCTGTTCTTAGATTTTCCTAAGATTCCATTAGGTCATTCTAGATATAAGAATTTTTGATGGCAGTGAATAGAGGAGGCGGCGGGCACATTGCTTCCACATATTGATATTTTTCCGGACTTTTGCGCTTTCACTGTGCGGCCCTACTTATCACAGACAAGCACCGTCAAGGGCATTTCTTTTGACTGTCATTGAGTCAACTGACGTGGTTTCGATTACCCGGTTGTACGTGACAAGGAGTTGGGTCGCCTGTCTAACCTCGTGGGCTTTCTGTGGGTCCTCCGGTTTCCTCCCACTGCTAAAGGCCCCTATGCGCAAGCGAACTATTGAAATAAAATTGAACCATGTGTTAGTCCCGAAATGACCTAGTTTGTGTTGATTAGACATTAAATCCCAACTCTCTCTCTCTCTCGCTCTCTCTCTCTCTCTCTCTCTCTCTCTGTTCTTTTGACAATATCGCCCAAAGTATTGCAATAATGATGGACAAGTAATTGTCTAGTATCGACATGCATATTCTACACACCATATACAAAATTTAAAAGATTATTTGGACGTCGGTTTTTCGTACCAAATTTTAATGAACGTTTCTTTCCAGACCTTCCGAGTGGACGTTAAACCCCATTTTTCTCTCTTTCTCTGTCAATGCCATGATTGACCTAGTAATCTAAGTAACCGCCTTACTAAGTGCTCCAAATGTAATCCTAGAGATTTAGTTGTCGGGCTTATAGAAAAGTAGGACGCTAAACCCCATTTCATTTATAGAAAATAACATCATTTTAAACCATAAATAACTTTCCTTTCAGTGAATAATCCTTTTTAAAAGTACAATGATTCAACTTGACATATAATACAGATGATGTCTATGCGGCTTAACAACATATAAATGCACAAAAGGTCTTTTGAAAGCTCACACATCTACAATTAGCAGGGGGATTTAAAGAGACAAAGCTTTTAGAAACATTATTAACACTGTTTTACCCAGACTAAATTAGATTAACTGTTCCATTCTGTTCAACTTTAGTTCATCATCTGAACAAGTCATCGAAAAAATGTCTGAATTTTATTGTTTTGCTTTTTTTTATGGCTTTATATAGAATAGAGGATCATGTCGTATTTATTTCGTTTTGTTCGAGAAAATAAACTAAATTTTAAGTTTTCTTTCTCTGTTTTACATTATTAGGCTATTTTTATCTTAATCTTCCATGATGCATCTTTACAGAATTATAAGCACACGAAAAAGCATATATTATACAAAATAGATTTAAGCAATGAAAGACTTGCATCGATAATAATCGTACAGTGGTGGCAGATTTATAGGTTATTTTCAATTGATAAATTAATATAATAAATGGGTTCAACATCCTATTGTTCTGCTCCGACTGGGCTAATGAAAACGGGCATACGCCATACAGTGTGCTAATTGGGAAATTTTGCCCAGACAGCGGCACTACTGTCTACTTTTATTTCGAATTACAACGATCAAGAGTTCTCTTACGTGCACCTTTTTTGGTCCCGAAAGTCCAGTTTAACATACAAACAGCTCACTTGGAAAAACAAATAATTTGGGAATCAAACACAGAATTAATATATCTAAGCATGATGTCATAATATTTGGATTTATTTTTCAGAAATGAGACAGTTATTTTAGTGAGATCTACTTTAGAAATGGCGGAGGTCATAAAGGAAATGATGACGAAATTATTGCTCATGCGTATTACTGTGATACACACTGAAATAGCCAGTAAATACAGTGTGGAGAAGGTTTCCATATTGGAAGGTAAGAAAAAGAAAAAAAATATTTTTACCTTGCTGTTGAATCGGAGGTTGGGTGGTCAAATGGTTTAAATTGTGTTCACTAGATCAGAGGGTCTGTCATTAAATCAACTGGTATGGTTTCGATTTCCTGCGTGTACGTGGCAAGGAGTTGGGTCGCCTGTCCGACCTCGTGGGTTTTCTTCGGGTTCTTCGATTGCCTCCCATTGCTAATAACCCCTACGCGCAAGTGAATTATTGATATAAAATTGAACCATATGTTTGTCCTGAAATGGCGTTGTTTTTTTTTTGTTTTTTATTTCTTTCTTTACTCAAGTTATTTTGGAGTTTTGTTTTATTCTTTTTGTAGATGATTTTGCCGTCCTTATTAATACGTCACATCCGTCCTTGAGAAAACAACTGAGTCATAGTTTACAGGAAGCTGCTGTCCATACTGCTAAAAACAGACGATTCTGTCTTGAGGTTGGTCATTACTGTAGATGTTTCATACTTTAGACATGGGTTGAGGTTAATCAGGGTATTTTGTAAAGGAATCTGAAGCCGGGGTGGGTTAAGGGCTGGGGAGGTGGGATACCCCCGAGCCCTAGAAAATTTGGAAATTTGGCGAATCTTAGAGGAACGCTTACTGCTTTGTGTTACAAGTGTGCCTGTGCTATTTTCCATCCTCAAATAGTACCAAATAGTATCAAATGTGGCATAATTTTAACTTGACTCGGTATTGACCCACTGGTTCTTTGTATTTGTACAAAGCAATTCTTTTCAGCTTTGTGGTATGCCTTTTCAGCGATGGGGTATATATTTTTCATTCCCCCCACTACGTACTATAGGCTACTAACAATGCCCGGGGTTAATCGCCACTGGAAATAAAATGAAATGAAATGGGGTTCAACGTCTTACTGTTTTGCATCGACTGGGCAAAGAAGACGGGCATACGCTGTTCAATGTACTATAAGAGAAATTTTTCCAGGGCAGAGACGATACGGCCTACTCTTATATCGAATGGATTTCATTTCTTCGAAGAAAACCTTAAGGCTCCACCAATTCCAGGATGGCTCTCGATGAAAACATACTCAAATCCTTGTCCATAATACAATGGTTCTTGTTTTAGAATTGACCCTCAATTAAATGTTATACATTTAAAGTGTTCAACCTCTTTCCAGATTGATTTGACAGAAACAATGAAAAACTGGTACACAGAAAACCGTGACGCGTTCACAAGTTGTGATGACATCCATTCCATGAAGATGCGACGTACACGACTTTACGTCACCAATCATTCCATATATAGTCATACGTATGACTGCAGTCCTAAATGGATAATATTTCTGGGTCTGTGTTGGATAGTCGCCGCACCTTGCTATTTTGTAAGTATAATATAGCGGTAACTGAAATTTAGCGTATTTCATTCAAGGCTCCATTTCCAGTTATCTTGAAGTGGCAATAAGCTTATGCTAGTCGGAACAATTGCTGTCAGGATTCAACTTTGCATAATACTGATTGCTATATATGCATTTTAATTTATAAATTTGGACAGTTTAAGCTTCCTTATATACAAATGAAATGGGTTTAAAGTCCTACTGTTCTGCTCCTATACTGAGCTAATTAAGACGGGCATATGTCATACAGTGTGCTATGAAGGAAATTCCAACTGCCAATGGATCTTTTACGTGCATTCCAAAGTATACACGGGACCTCGGTTTTTCGTCTCATCCGAAGGACTAGACAGCTGTCCTTGTTAAGCCCTCCGTTCTGCACCACTGACAAGGGGAAACCACGTCTGAAAATCCCGATGAACTTTCTCGGCCAATGCAGGGATCGAACATCCGACCTCCAGGTTAGCGAGCCAGCGTCTTAACCACCTAGCCACCGTGGCTCCCCTTATATACAAGATGTCCACCCAAGATGTTAAGACATGTTGTCCATTTATTATCCTTATTTTGTTAATTGAAAATTAGATGTGAATATCATTGTTTTGGTCAAAATGGTGATAACAATTAGTATTATTATTTATTTTCAGATATTTAGAAAATTAACATGCCGAGATTTACGGGTTACCATAGATGGGGAGATAACTCTGATGACAAATATGTTACCAGAAGCCGTAGAATGCAACAGGCAAGTAAACTAGCATCAAATTCTATGACTTGTCCTTAGCTCTCCTAATTACTCATTTACTTGTATTTCATTTACCCGGTCGTACCTTAGCAATAGTCGATGGCTTGGCAAGGAATGACGTCTAGTCGTTCGGATGGGACAATAAACGCCTTACTCAATGAGCCCCCGTAGCGTAGTATTAAAGAGAGAGCGAGGGAAATGGGGTTTAACGTCCACACGACACAAACTAGGTCATTTCGGGACTAACATATGGTTTTAATTTTATTTCAATAAATCGCATGCGCGTAGGAGTCTTTAGTAGTGGGAGGAAACCGGAGGACCCGGAGAAAAAGCCACGAAGTTGGACAGGCGGCCCTACTCCTTCTCACGTACAACCGGGGATTCGAAACCACGCCAGATGATTCAATGACAGGCCTTATGATACAGCGCGCACGTGCTAACCATTCGCCCCCCCCCCCCCCCGTAGTATTAAAACACCCTAGTTTAGAAATAAAACAGTTTAAGACTGCTTATGTCTTTATTTCAGAGCACTGAACTTTGGGAATCAAAAATATTACCAAACAGTCTGACACATCACTAAACCAGATCGTGCAGGAAATATACTTTGTTTTAAACTTTTGACAATAGAAATAAATAATGTGTACATACGTGGTTTTCTTATACATTTTATAACAGGAAATTCCATGCGTGCTTTTTAAAGGGTGGTGGCGTACTTTCAATCATTAAGATTGTGCGAGGTAATTTCGGTGATGATGTACTTTCAATAGTTATGTATGCGGACTGTTCCATTGTATAACAGGAAATTCCATGTGGGCTTTTTAAAGCGTGGTGGCGTACCTTCTATCTTTAAGATTGTGTTAGTTAATATCGGTGATGACGTACTTTCAATGTGTTCTGTTCCAGTGATGATGACGTACTTTCGATCGTTAAAATTGCTTGTTGTTCCAGTGGTGATGATGTACTTTTATCGTTAGTACGTGCAGGGGGTTGCACCATACATAAACAATTAGACAAGGAATACATACGGACAGGACACAATATACACAGACACCTCAAACATAAAACGTTTATATCAGCCCAAGTTAATAGATCCGGGGCCAAACCGTAAGAGTCCACTGCGCTCTGGAGTCGTGGCTTATGGTGATTTTGCCCGTTTCCATTGGTGATGACATACTTTCGAATGAAAACATTGCGTGCTGGTCTAGTGCTGATGGTGTATTGTGTTCAGGTGACGATGACTACTCTCTATGTTGATAGATACCCTTTGGAACCACATACGTCTGAAGAACTGTTGAAACTAGACTTTCAGAGGGTGTCAGTGGCATAAACCATGAAAGTGTGGGAAAACACTGAGTGTGAGTGTCGTAGCAGACAGATCAATATTGGGGTTTTAAATGATCAGTCGAAGATTATGGGGTGGGGGTGGGGGTTAGGGGGTGGGGGGCGGGGATAGTGTATTTACATTCTTATTACTCAATACAGACGCACGGTTCATGTACTAACGAGTTTAATCAGCTACTTAAGAAAATGAATTGGACAGTTAGGGGTTAGCATGTCACGACAGCCAAAATGAAGGGTTAGTGTGCCATGACAGGCAGAAGCAAGGACATGGGAAATTAAGGTTCAACGACGGGAAAATGGAAGGGTTGGCATGGCCTGATAGTGAAACGGAAGGGTATAAGTGCACCATGACCGTGAAAGGGAAGGGTGTAAGCGCACCATGACAGTTAAACGGAAGGGTATAAGCGCGCCATGATAGTGAAACGGAAGGGTGTAAGCGCATCATGACAGTGAAACGCAAGGGTATAAGCGCGCCATGATAGTGAAACGAGAGAGCATAAGCGTGCCGTGACAAGGGGGAGGGGCCGAAGGTACCAGCGTGCGGTGACCGAGAAAGGGAACAGGTTTAGTGTGTGCGGTGACCGAGAACGGGAACGGGTTTAAGTGTGCGGTGACCGAGAAAGGGAGCGTCCAATGACCGAGAAAAGGTACGGTAGAAGCGCACCTAGACACAGAAAAGGACGGTATAAACGTGTCATGGCGGGTAAAGGAGCTGCATAACAGGAAAAAGAAACGGTATAAACGAGAACGTGCCATGGCAGGAAAAGGGGCGGCATAAACGTGCCATGGCAGGAAAAAGAAGAGGCGTACCAAGAGAGGGAAAAGGAGCGGCATAATCATGTCATGAAAAAGATAGATTTATTTGTCATGGTATGATTCTGTCTGCTGTATTTTCTGATATCATTAATCCTAGAAACTGCTGTAAACATGCACGATATGATTATTAATCAATAATATTGTTGATAATATTTAAACAAAATGTCTATGTTATTTTGTTTTCAATATGAAATAAAAACTAATATCCAATTCACGGTCCGAATGAGCTTCACAAGACATTTGTTGAGGACGGGATTCTGGGAAGTACCCCCCCCCCCCCCACACACACACTTCCGTCCCCTGACCCGGACGCAATTGGTAAACCTGGGTGGGTTTATAGAACCACATTACAATGAAGCTGGGCTAATAAAGACGGGCATACGCCATACGGTGTGCTATGAGGGAAATTTTGTCCGGACACGGGCGCTATCGTCTACTCTCATATCGAATTCCAAATGAAAAGCGTCCTTTTACGTGTACGTCAATGAGTGCACGGGACCCATGTTTTTCGTCCCATGTGAGCTACAATACCTTGTCCCTTTCCAGACCTTCCGCCCTGCATCACCACTGACAAGGGGGAACCACGGCAGAAAATCCCGATGTACTTTCTCGGTCAACACAGGGATCGAACACGGAATCTCCACGTTAGCGGGTCAACGTGGCTTCGTGTACAGAATGAATATGATACCCTGCTTCATTAAGCTGGGTGGGGGGTGGGAGGTGGGGGTGACTGAATGTTCAGCTGATGTGGTTTCGATTCCCCGGGTCGTACGTGACATTGAGTAGTGACATTGAGTAGGGTTGCTCGTCCAACCTCGTGGGTTTTCTCCGGATTCTCCGGTTATTGAAATAAAATTGAACCCATGTTAGTTTCGAAATGACCTATTTGTGTCGAGTGGACGTTACCCCCCCCCCTCTCTCTCTTTCTCTCTCTCTCTCTTTGATTAAGATGGCTGTTACAGAAGACTAAGACGTTAAAACTCGTTTCATTTCTAATTATGATGTCCATGAACATCTGTTAGTATACACAGGAGACTGTACCAATTATATTTCCTCTCAACAAGGTGTCTGGTTGGTGTTAAATCCAAGAAACTATGTTCTCCAATGAATAGCTAATTGCTATTCAAAATATTTAATTATTAATGATTTATAATGGGAGGAAAGTCGCATCTTGATAAATAGTTCGGCTGTAACTAGCATATTACTATGGTGGCTGATTGGTATCATGTCGTGATGTCGATCACGACATTTTAACCCGACACCAAGCCGGAAAATCTCGATGAACTTTCTCGACCAAAGAGAGAGAAATTAGGTTTAACACCCACTCGACACAAACTAGGTCATTTCGGGTCTAACATATGGTTCAATTTTATTTCCGTAATTCGCTTGCGCGTTGGGGGTCTTTAGCAGTGGGAGGAAACCGGAGGACCCGGAGAAAACCCACGAGGTTGGACAGGCGACCCTACTCCTTGTCACGTACAACCGGGTTTCTCGGCCAACACCAGGACCGAAACCGCGACTTCCAGGCCTACGATCCAGCGTTTTACTCACTTAGCCACCGTGGCACCCGGAGCAGAACAGTAGGACGTTAAACCCCATTTCATTTCATATTATTTTCCTACTTTCCTGCACCAACCGGGCTATTGAAGATATGCATACGCTCTGCAGAGTGACATGACGGAAATTGTCATCAATGGACCGTGGCATTTCTTCGTCGAAATTCAACTATAAAGGATTCTTTTATGTGTATGCCAATGTGTACACAGGAGCTTGTTTTTCTGTCCCATCTACACAACTAGACAACTAGACACTGTACTTTGCCAGACCCTTTGTCCTGCACTATCGACAGGGAGAAACCACGCTGCAAAATCCCGGGGAACTTTCTTGATCAACACCGGCGTCAATGTACATAATCATAGTATTGAGAGAAATATGGCCGATAACCCGACAACACGACAACCCGACATGACGACATCACGACATTTTAACCCGACAATACGCGACGTTACATTAGCCCACTAGGTGCAGAAAATTATGACTTTAAACAACATTTAAATGCTCAATACCACTCTTGTTGTAACTGAATAATATGTCCCAATCTTTATTCTGGTCAACAAATTTTACTATTTTACAATATTCCAATTAATTGATGATACAAATTTCATCTTAACACACCTAATTTAAAACATTGGAAAAATTCAACTAAATGACTTGAAAAGCCTGACGTAAAGCTTTTCAAATGTCACTTGGATTTAAAAATATTTTTGAACCCTCTGGACAAGTAAAATAGGATTTAATGGATAATTTACACAACAGGTAGGACACTAACACATCTAGTACTTAGAATAAGGCTATTTTTTATTTCCTGGAGCTGTCAAGCCAGCAAGAGTGTTATTGTCCCTTTAATTTCATTCCATACAACAATCATAGATGATTCTTGCGCACATTACCGCAAGCTTTGGGGCGATAAATCTGTTCACGCAGTGTTTTGTCCGAGAAATTGTCGCCCACAAGAAAGCGTGGTAGCTGCGACTTACCGATAAAGGGAGATAACTACATTGAAAAACGTTGCATTAGTATAGTTTAACATCCTACTTTTCTGCATCAACCGGGTTAAAATCGACGTACATACGCTAAACAGTATGCTACGAGGGAGAATGTACCCGGAGAGCTTTGTCCTTAGCGTATTTCGAATTCCAACTGCTAGGGGTTCTTTTATGTGCACGCCAACGTGTACACTGGCTTTCGGCTTTCGTCCCATCCGAACGACTAGTCTTATTTCGCATTACCGATGTGGAACATATTGCAGGACCCTACATAGTCATTCATTGGTGATGTTTAGTAATTTAATAGCTACCTTGATCACTGTGTGTAAGGAGGCTGACGTACTGGGGCTTGGGGTTAGGGGCTGTGGGCTTCCGCGGTACGATGGCGGAACGGTTGGCACGCGTTCTGTATCAAAAGGTCTGTCATTGAGTCAACTGGTGTAGTTTCGATTCCCCGGTTGTATGTAAAAACGAGTAGGGTCGCCTGCCCAACCTCGTAGGTATTCCCCGGGTCCTCCGTTTTACTCCCACTGCTAAAGACCCCTACTCGCAAGCGAATTATTTGAATAAAATTGAACCATATGTTAGTCCCGAAATGACCTCGTCTGTGTAGTACCAAAAGTGCGTGATTTTTAACTTGGCTTCATAATCAGTATTTCCCCACCGCTTATTAATGTTTGTACAAAGCTGTGGGGCAATTTGTTTCAGCAGAAAAGGATTTAAGCAAATAAATACAGATCTCTTCAATATTTATTTATTGCATAACAAATAAACCAAAACAAAATTTAAAAAACAAATCCTTAAAATTCCACCGCCACATTTAAACCACATTATCAAACAAATTGAGGATATCTATTAAATGTATGTACCAAACCATCAAATAAGCCTTATTTTTAGCTCCCTTTTTTTCCCGTAATTTCCAACGGGCTCACCGGGAAATTTCCACCGCTCCAGTCCATGCAGTGCAGACTATCATGTTTTTCTTTATTTTATTTTTTTGTTGCACTTTCTATTAGTAAACAAACCCGCGGACAACACACACAAACCACAGTGAAACTGCAAGCAACACACAACATAACATCACATCAAGCGAAGGATGCAGGGCCACAAATGAGGTCAGTAGATTTTATCATATAACACAGACTGGCTATCGATAACAGTTAATATGACACAATCATATTATTAAACTAGACTAAAACAATGAGAAATCAACGTGGCTGAAACCCCTCAGGTAAAACGGGACACGCCCATTTCTGGAATACAAATGTCGTTATTTTATATGAATTCACATAACGTTTCTATAGTTAATTCTGGTAAAGTATGCAAGAAACCATTTTCGATATTTAAGAAACACCACATATAATAATTAACTAAGAGTTATTTTAAGTATGTTAAATCGTAAAGAACAAGGTGCATATTTTACGACATACTATCGTACCTAGGTCGCGACGAGACGAATTACGGCAGTATCCCCGGCGTGAAAGATGCTGAATGACCGTGAATGTGTGTTTTGGGTTTTTAACCTTCTTTTGTGTATAATAAATATCGAATTGGGCGCTGCAGATGGAGTGCTGGGATGCGGAGGCTTCGTCAAATCTGACGTAGATATCAATTTTTCCTTGGTTGAGGTAATTTTCTTGTTTGTTTACCCATTTCAATCGGCCGAATTTGCAGTAATCAGAATCAGTACGTACGACGAAGGATGAATAAATCGTTATTTTTAAGCTACGGACCGGTTATTTTGATATGATAATGAATAAGTATATGCTGTTCAAACTGCCTTTGATACTATGTTATCTTTTGCTTGATTTCTTTAAAACTTCAATACAGGGAATGATTCGTAGATGGTTGTTCAAAAGTTTTTGGATGAGCTGTGTCCGACCTTGAGACATCGTCGGACATGATCAACTTTGGAACCGTCATTTTTGATAAGATAAATGTATCAGAATCTTTCCATCACTAGGATTAGTTTATATTTAAAAACCAAGTTGGTACATGTACTTATATCTCCCATCTTCATTACCCCGGTTGGTGTAGAAAAGTAAGGCATTGATGAAGCTCATTTAATACTGATGGACCTGTGAATATCATTATGCAGGCCGATTTGGTTTAACACTTCTAAACTACAGAGGGTGTTTACTGTTTGGTGATCTACATGTACATGTAACACATACGCTTTCGATCACACAGTTAATTTGTGTGATTTCGATCCCAAGAGTAGGATCATCTGCCCAACCTTGTGGCTTTTCTCAGGTTTCCTCTCTCTGACTGCTAAAGACCTCAACATGCAATTGATCTATTGAAAACATTTTTTTAGCATGAATTAGTACTGAAATGACATTATTTGTAAACAAACTTCATTTTCCTCCCACTCCACTACAGGCATCTTATCTGAATTTTAAGTTTAGTAAACAAGGGTTGGACAGATTCTGAAATTGTTCTGCTAATTTGTGTACGAATATTAGTTTGGGAACAACAGTGTCTCAATGCATACAGCACTGGCTCACTAACAGGGCGATCCAGGGTGAGAAAGTTCCCAGAGGATTTTCCTGCGTGGTTTCCCCTTGTCAGTAGTGCAGGACAGAGGGGCTAGCAAGAAACTGTGCCAAGTTGCTATGATGGGATGAAAAATTGAGGTCCTGTGTACACATTGGCTCCCACGTACATGTAAAAGAACCATTAACGGTTGGTATTCAATTGCTATCGGGGCAAAATTTCCCTCGTAGCACTCTTTATTAGTGCAGAGACGTGGGACGCTAAACCCCATTTAAAAGAAATTGTTTATTTATACTGTAGTATTTTTTTGTGTATATTTTTACAGGTGAAGTTGTATACACCACATGGTAGTATAAAATATCAGACAGATTGTGCACCAAATACTGGTTATTATCTCATACCCCTCTATGATAAAGGAGATTTTATTCTCAAAGTTGAACCACCCAAAGGATGGAGTTTTGGTAGGTTTTAGGCTTGTAATAAATCATTTATATACATGTACAAGTGTACGATCACAAATTATAGTTATAATATCATTTAAAGATACATTATGGGAGATTCAGTAACAAGTTGGCAGTTCTCACTATAATAGTTAAAAACTAGATAGTGTAAAGCCAATTTGCTGAAAATTTCATTCAAATTGATCCACGATGAACCGAGAACCAAGCGACTGAAATTCCCATAAGCCTCGTTCATCATTACTAAAGTCAGTACGATAAACAGCATAGTCTCGATTATCCATTTAATCTTAAAATAAATCTCAGCAATAGACCATATCTAACAGGTCAAATGACATATTGTTGTTACCTAAGTTTACTAATTAAATCACCCCACCCCCTTTTGTCCTCAAATAGTTTTAGTTTTATATGTTTCTGTATGAACAATACAATACCTGTTAAGAATCCTAGCAGGAGAAGAACTGTGTGAGTTGAACCATATGTTAGTCCCGAAATGACCCAGTTTGTGTCAAGTGGACATTAAACAGCATTTTTCTCTCTCTTGTGTATGTTGAGCGCAGATTACCCTCCTCGGACAGATTAGCCCCGCGCATGCACGAATCTCTGTCTAATTTCCGATGAGTAATCTGCGCGCGCGAAGTGAACTTTATCCGAAATATTTAATGGATTACCGCGATGATAATCCACCTAATCTTACTCGGTATTCACCATGGATCAGTGCGTTAGTATTGGTCATTTTAATGATTACATTTTACTCAATAAGTGCAGATCAATCTGCGCGAGGGGTGAAGATTGTGCCTAACATGTATAATACTAAGAATGGTTGATACATTTTTTTTTTACAGAACCACAGAGTATAGAATTACAAGTAGATGGAACTAATGATAAATGTAGTAAAGGAGAAGATATAAACTTTCTATTTACTGGTTTCTCTGTTATAGGAAAAGTGAGTTATCTTTTCATTGATAACATTTTTTATCAAAATTAACGTTTAAATCAGTGATGCACATTGTTCTAGTTACCAGTAATGTTTTTACTGATCATGGGATCACGGTGGCAAAGTGGGTAAGATGCTGGCCAGCTGTCTAGTGGTTTGAATGGGACGAAAAACCAAGGTCCCGTGTACACATTGGCGTGTACGTAAAAGTTCCTTGACAGTTGGAATTCAATATAAGAGTAGGCCATAGTGCTGCTGTCCAGGCAAAATTTCCCTACTAGCACACGGTATGGCGTATGCCCGTCTTCATTAGCCCAGTTCGGAGCAGAACAGAAGGACGTTAAACCCCATTTTATTTTTACTGATCAATAAGAAATATAATCTTATTAGTATTGACATATATCGTTTTTAACCATTCAAAGTGTAGGCAAAATGTAAGTATTTTATTTATTTCCAGGTAATAAGTAAAGGGCAGACAATTGGACCATCAGGTGTTTCTGTTAGTTTGGCGAAATCTAATTCAGGGGAGATAATTCAGACAGTTAAAACATCTGATAATGGAGAGTAAGTAAATATGTTCGTCTGCTGTACTCAACGCAATAATCGTGATCCACTGACATTTAGATAGTAGGTCGTAGTGCATAAGGAAGTTTTATCTGAAGTATTGTTTGAGCTTTACAGATTCTGTGTTGGTTGATTTATTTGTTTTATTTTACAGATATATGTTTACTAAGGTGTTGCCAGGTGAATACAAGGTCAAGGCCTCTCATCAAACATGGAAGCTTGAAAAGGTTTGTACTATTTGAAAATTTGTCATTAAAAGTTGCTATTGTTATGTGGTATGTTTATGTACAGGATGAATTGCTGCAATGTTAACAAGGCGTAGGGTCGTCTGTCCAACCTTGTGGGTTTTCTCCGGGTTCTCGGGTTTCCTCCCACTGCTAAATACTTCTACGCGCAAGCAAATTATTGAAATAAAATTGTGTTAGTCCCGAAATTACCTGGTTTGTGTTGAGTGGACGTTAAACCACGTTTCTCTCGCTCTCTTCTTCTTTGCAATGTTAATTAGAATGTATATTTATTGTTTGTATATTTCAGCCTGAGAGCGTTGTCAAGGTTATTAATGATAATGGTAATGCTGGTAATAATCTGGTCATATCAGGATATGATGTCTCAGTAAGTTCATTCAACATTTTAATTTTGTTGGTCTTAAATTGTTCAAGTTAAGTTATCTTGGGGCCAAGAGCTCGTTCCCAAACCCTGCATTGGCCGAGAAAATCCATCCAGATTTTCCGACGCGGTTTCCCCTTGTCGGTGATGCAGGAAGGACGGCCTGACAAGGACAGCTGTCTAGTCATTCGGTTTACGAAAACCGAGGTCCCATGTATATATTGGAATGCATGTAAAAGATCCCCTGGCAGTTGGAATTCGATATAAGAGTAGGCGATAGTGCCGCTGCCCGGGCAAAATTTCCCTCATAGCACACTGTATGGCGTATGCCCGTCTTCATTAGCCCAGTGTAGGAGCAGAACAGTAGGACGTTAAACCCCATTTCATTTCATTTCGTTCCCAAACTCTGCTAATTTCGAAAAAGTCTGGTTCAAAGTATTGTGGTTCTTGTCGATTGAAAGGGGTTTTAATTATATGGAATGATTGAGAGGAGCTTTTATTTATATACATATATGTATAATTGTTTTTATAGGGAGTGGTATCGAGTGATGGAGAATATATAAAGGGGGTTAATTTCTTGCTCTTCTCATCAACAGTGAAACAACAGGTAAGCTAGTATTTTTTGATATCTTATACAGGACACACTGTAACCAAGGTATCATTTAATCTTGTGTATCTAGCACTAATTTCTTTTGTAGTCATACAATATCAAATCTTTGTTTAAAATTTCGTAAAAATCGTCTAATTTGTACTATATTTCATTCATTCACTTTTATGGGAGATAAGAAAAAGACTTGACAGTTTAAAACAAAGATAACGTAAATAGAACATACTGAAAATTGCAGTCAAATTGCTCCACTCTGAACCAAGATATTAGCTATTGAATTTTAGGCTAGCCTCGATCATCATTACTAAAGTCGGTATGATAAAAAAAACAGTCTTGATAATCCATATTTACGTTTAATTCTCCTTCATAAAATATATTCCAATCGCAGTCTAGCAGTGACATCGAGAGTATGATCTGGATAAGTTGATTAATGTCTAATTAATAATTTAGATAACATTTCAGGCCTTAAAAAAGACCTGCAATAGGCAGATTTAGCTCTTGCATAATGTATGTTTAAAGTAAAATTTCTGCATCTTATGACTGGTATTGTTTTACAGGATGTGACAGGTTGTGAGAAATCTCCACTTAAAGGTTTTACCGGAAACCAGGCATCAAAGCCTATCTGTTACGTGACATCACAACAAAATGGTAGATTTATCTTCCCTTCACTACCAACTGGCAAATATTATATAGTAAGTTCAGGCATCTCATTGATTTTATGTGTTTCTTTACCATTAGCCGGGGTGGGGGGTGGTGGATGAGTAATTAGCGCATGCTTGCTGAATGATAAGGTCTGTTATTGAGTCAACTGGCATGGTTTCGATTCCCCGGTTGTAAGTGACAAGGAGTAGGGTCACCTGTCCAACCTCGTTGGTTTTCTCTGGGTCCTCCAGTTTCCTCCCACTGCTAAAGACCCCTACGCGCAAGTGAATTATTGAAATAAAATTGAACCATATATATGTTAGTTCTGAAGTGACCTAGTTTATGTCGAATGGAGTTAAACCCCATTTCTCTCTCTATCTTTACCATTAGCCAATATCGTGATTTCCCCTGAATTTTTCTTTATGCACAAGTATTGATATTAGCCAAGTCCCTCTTTTTATATCATTGCTAAATAAAGGATTATTTTTATTAAGTGGAGATCAAACCTCTTTCCTCTTGCTCTATCAATCTCTATGTCATTAGTTCCTGTGACATTGACGAATATTTTTGTGTTTTCAGGTTCCATTTTATAAAGGTGAACATATTACATTTGATGTTTTACCTGAGAAATTAGAGTTTGAAGTTCAACATCAATCAGTTCAATTACAGGTAAGTATAGATATCTTTTAGATATCTTAACATGTTAGTCACAAGGGCAAATGTTGTATCGGCAATATTAATTCGAGCTAAAACATTGGATAATGTGGCCTTCAATTAGTGTTAAACGACAAGCAATGACCAATCAATTATCTGTAAGCATAAAACACGTGTTGGTCTTTGTTTATTACCTTGATAATTTTATAAACTCTTGGTATAAACATTCAATTGGCCGTTTTAAAGGGCAAAGATGAATTCCAACAGAGTGGTTTAAGGGCGTGAACAAACACAACCTGTCAATCAATTGGTTGGTCAATCGTAAGGCTTGGATGACAAGTGCTATTTAGTCAATGATTATATATATTCATAGTAAATTGTTTGATATAATGTAATAAAATCTTGAATGTACAGAAAGCGTTATCATATTTTAAGTTCTGCGTATTCGAGGTTACATTATAATAAAACTTCTGGTATTCGAAGGTACAATAATACTTCCGGTATCATTGAGGCAATTGAATATTCCGACATGCTGTCTAACCTGGCATATTGTATCGATCCAGTACAATGTCGGAATTGACAGAGTCCACCGTAATTGTTTTCCATAAATAGTGGGGGGTGGGGGGCGGGGGATTAAATCATTGAGTCAACTGGTGTGGTTTTGATTCCCTGGTTTTACATGACAACCTCGTGAGTTTTCTCCATGTCCTCCGGTTTCCTCCCACTGCTAAAGACCTCTACACACAAGCGAATTATTGAGATAAAATTTAACCATATGTTAGACCCAAACCTAATGTGTGTCGAGTGGACGTTAAACCCCATTTCTCTTTCTCTCTCCATAAATAGTCTTATTTGATTATTTGTTCATGAAAACACACAAATCATTTATGTCGTTTGAGATAGATGCAGAATTTATCTATGATATTGATAACAATACACTAATAGATATACTTCAAAGAGAGAGAGAGAGAGAAATGGGGTTTTATGTCCACTCAACACAAACGAGGTCATTTCTGGACTAACATATGGTTTATTTTTATTTACATAGTTCGCTTGCGCGTAGGGGTCTTTAGCAGTGGAAGGAAACCGGAGGACCCTACTCCTTGTCACATACAACCGGGGATTCGAAACCACGCCAGTCGAATCAATGACAGACTTTATGATACGGCGCGCACCGTAACCATTCAGCCATCCAACCCCCCGATATACTTCAGAGTGTGTAAATTTATTTTATTACTTTTTCAGAAACAGTTCAACGTTGCTGGATTTTCTGTCAGTGGTCGGGTTTTAGACTCGGAAAAGGTAAAAGATTCATGTTTATTGACCTTCTGTCTAGAGCTTAAATCATTGCATATACAACAATTAGTATGATTAAGATCTGATTAATGGGGACAATGTAATCTGGCTTGCATAGACTTGATTCCACTTTAAAGTTTTGTAAATAAGACTCTTAGAGTTTAAATTTGAATCTTGTGTTAAAGTCTTATAAATACGACCTTAGGTATAACACTGTAATACAGATATCATTTAATCTTGTGTATTTACCCTAGCTTTGATATTAATGAATGTAAGTTTAAATTTGTATCTATGTTGAGGGCTTATAAATAAGACCTTAGGTATAACACTGTAATACAGATATCATTTAACGTTGTGCATTTAACCTAGTTTTGATATTAATGAATGTAAGTTTAAATTTGTATCTATGTTAAGGTCTTATAAACACAACCTTAGAGTTAACACTGTAATACAGATATCATTTAACATTGTCCATTTACCCTAGTTTTGGTATTGAATGAATGTAAAAGAAAACAATGCTTAATACACAAGTTGAAATGATAACCAGGTTACAGTGTAAGTCAATCTGATTAAAACACAGATCCTATTTCGTTTACTTTTTTATAGTTCAAAATTTTGTTTTACTTGTGTTTACTACACTAGGATCTGGAAACGTTGTTTATATTACCGGCGTTCTGGTTGAAGTGAGGGATTAGTCAATGAAACGGTCGCTTACCACTAGAAACGTCAATGCTGATTGATTAATCAATGTCTGACGCTATAGGGTCAAAAAACGCTCATACGCCCCCTGACGTGACGTTTCAGTACACCTGGTCAGATCTTCATGTAGTGTTGGCCATCAGAAGTATAGATCTGTATTTTAATCAGATTGAGTGTAAGTTGTTATTTTATATGTTTATTCACAGTTATTGAATCTAATTTCAGGGATCAGGAGTAGCAAAGGCTAAGATTTTACTCAATGGTAATGAACAGACAATGACGAGTCAGGATGGAACCTATCATCTAGAGAACATGAAAACAGGAACCTATAAACTATCTGTACAATCCTCATCAATCTACTTTGATGATATCACCCTTAAGATAACCCCTAGTACACCACAATTACCAAATATAGTAGCTTCAAGGTAAATACAGACATTTCTTATAGTAAACCCTCCATAATAACCTAATATAGACATTTCTTATAGTAAACCCTCCATAATAACCTAATATAGACAGTTCTTATATACTATTCAAAAAAAGTAGGGGATATTTGATTTTGGGGGCATAATACTAAAATATGCAAATGACTACGAAAAAAGTCACTATAGAACCTAACAGAAGAAACATTTCCAGTTACATGTGACGCCCAAACGCACCAATAGCTACTGCATGGAATGCAGGTGATGCTTGGGATCATCATGGGGGTCCAACCCAAGATTTGCACGACTCTGACTTTGAATGTTACAGTCATTGTGGCATTGAATTCCAGGGTGGAAACATCAGTTTAATTGTTTTAGTGACCAGAAAACAAATTTTGATATGCGTCGGCTTCCCCAAAATGAAAGGTTACGTGCCCTTGGCATGCTACAGATCGGCACAACACAGGCGGTTGTGGCGCGGACGATGAATGTTTCTCAGTCTGTCATAAGCAGGCTATGGTCCAGATACCGTGATACACAATCTGTACAGGACAGACCACGCTCAGGTCGACCAAGGGCGACAACTCAAGCCCAGGATCGATTTATCCGTACCTTGGCCTTGAGAAATCGTGTCATCACAGCAAATCAGATCAGCGCTCGTCTTCAAACAGACCCTGGTGTGAGAGTGAGTGGCCAGACGATTCGGAATCGACTGCATAGGGGTCACCTTCGCGCCGGACGTCCTCGCGTGATCCCTTGTTTGAGAGATCATCACATTCAGGCAAGAGGTCGTTGGTGTAGAGATCGTCAACACTGGGATAATCGACGCTGGAGCAATGTGATGTTTTCAGATGAGTCAAGGTTCACTGTTGATTTTTTGGACAGACGTAGGAGGGTGTGGCGTCGTCGAAACGAGCGCTTCCAAGACGTTAACGTCATCAGACATGATCGATTTGGGGGTGGTTCTGTTATGGTGTGGGGAGGCATCACTGTTGCTGGAAGAACGGCTTTACATGTTGTTGCAGGGCGTGTTACAGGCCAGTACTACCGGGACAACATCTTGGCAGTCCATGTTGTGCCGTTCGCACGACGTCATGGCCGCCGTTTCATCTTCCAGGATGACAACGCAAGATGTCACAGGGCCAGGATCGTTACAGGTTACCTCCAACAACAGAACATCACCACATTACCTTGGCCAGCACTGAGTCCCGACCTCTCCCCCATCGAGCATGTCTGGGACATGCTTGGACAGAGGTTACGTCAACGTCAACAACGTCCTGCCAATGTCCAAGAACTTGCTGCTGCGTTGCAACAGGAATGGGACAATCTGGACCAAAATGACCTTAGACGTCTCATTAGGAGTATGCCACGTCGGATCAATGCTTGTTTGGCAAACAGAGGAGGGTTTACCCGTTACTGACTTGGTTGTGATGCTGTGGTAACTTTGCTGTTTGACCCCGGGTATCATTTTACCCTTATAATGGTCAGTCTGTGCCTTACTTAGTCTAACGATCATTTGGAATAAATCGATGAATGTGAACTTCATTTCATTTTGTCATTTGTTTCTTCGTCAGTTTCATTAGGTGACTTTAATAACACTTAAAAATCAAATATCCCCTACTTTTTTTGAATAGTATAGTAAATCCTCCACAATTACCTAATATAGACAGCTCTTATAGTAAACCCTCCATAATAACCTAATATAGACATTTCTTATAGTAAACCTTCCATAATAACCTAATATAGACATTTCTTATAGTAAATCCTCCATAATAACCTAATATAGACATTTCTTATAGTTAATCCTCCACAATTACCTAATATAGACATTTCTTATAGTTAATCCTCCACAATTACCTAATATAGACAGCTCTTATAGTAAACCCTCCATAATAACCTAATATAGACAGTTCTTATAGTAAACCCTCCACAATTACCTAATATAGACATTTCTTATAATAAACCCTTCACAATTACCTAAATTTGCCTCATAGCACACTGTATGGTGTATACCTGTCTTAATTAGCCCAGTATAGGAGCAGTAGGATGACAATCAATCATCCCTTCTTCCTGACTGTAAGTGAATGTATCGTCAGGCCTGGAAATAACGGTCTTAGATGTACCTGACAAAATGTCAGGCACTTATGAAACAGTACCTGAAATTTTCAACTGATAATTTCTGACATGTATTAATATCAATTAAAAAGACAAATCAATGTCGGACAAAATGACGGGTGCTAGAGGTTTTGTGTCTGACAAAATCTTAATTTGTGCCTGACATTGTCTGTGACAGGTGCCTTATTTCCAGGCTTGCTTCTGTTCCTTCTCAGATACCGACAATCAAGTATTCCCTCCATCTCTGTAAGTAAATGCAGAATGAATGAAATGTTTCAATACCTAATTTGTTTTGTTGTGTTTCAGCTTCAGTCTATGCGGTCAAGTTATTATTGATAGGCTACCCGAAGCTTTATCGTCTGTTCCTTCTCAGAGACGAATCATCTACCATCCGGACGGCAAGAAATCAGAAGCTGTTTCTCTATCACCAGAAGCAGACGGTAAATTCTGTACAAAAGTTAAACCAGGAAAATATATTATTGGGGTAAGTTTCACTACAAATTTGGTATCCTGTCGTTCAACGAATTTGAACAATTTGCCAAAAAGTGTTTGAAACTAAACATTAAACACAGAAACTCCCACTGAAACAACTTAACTACACAATACCCGAGTTTTAGTGGGAGACGTGGGGCTCACAGACCATGAGCTCCTGCTTTCGATCCCCATTGTGGCTGAGACAATTCCGTGAGATTCTCCAGCCTGCTTTCCCCTAGTCAGTGCTGCAAGTTCAAGTGGGTTACAGAAAACGAAGTCACAAATTCTGTAAGATTTTCTAGCCTGCTTTCCCTTTCCCTTGTCAATGGTGCAAGTCAAAGGGTCTGGAAAGAAATATCGTCTAGTCATTCTGATGAAAGCCCCTTAAAGATCAGGATTAAAAATATCAGTTATTCATTTATCTTGTTGTTTTTCTTGGTAAATGTTGACCTGGTTATGAAATGGTATCGTAGTACCTGAATCGCAAAACGTATCGTATTGTGACTGCAGTGACCATACCAAGCACTACCAGACAGGCAGAAATTCCCTCATGTACAAAATACAAAAGTAGGCTGTTAAACTCCCATTTCATTTTTGTTCAGTTTTGAAATTCTTGTTATTACCTTCAAAAGCCATTGGTGTGGAAGGTGAAATTTCAAAAACATCTTGTGATTTGGAAATGCCAGAATAGAATTGGGAACAAGGATATCTTTTAGACACTTTGCCTCTCCGGCCTATTAGAGCCACAAACTTATAACTTATAGGCTGTGGTATTCGAGTGGTCAGAGCACTGGACACAGGATTCACATCATGACGTGGGCCAAGTAGAACATTGGGATTTTTCAAGCACAGTTCACACTTACTAGGGTGAGCAACTTCGTGGAAGACAAGGGAATTGTGCCTTGTCTTTCTTTTACTTGCACATCAATGTTACACTTGACCTCCATTTTTCTGTCCCAACAGAAAAACTAGGTACAGTTTCCAATGTTCAGCCTCAGAGGGTTCAAACCTGACATATTCTAGTTGATAAACTGTAAAATATACTTATGGAAGAACAATTACTGATTTATTTAGGCGACGTTTCGAAGAGTATTCTCTCAACGTTTTCAAGCAAGTACAGTAACAAATGTGTAGGGCAATCATATAAAGACTCTATAAGAACATTCTATTTGAGATGTTGGTGCTCTTTTAACACAGCCGCCTGTATTTATTTAGAGTTGTAAATATCAGAACACTGCCTCCATCATAAAGATATGTATTTGTTTTGTTTTTATTAGATTCATCTGAGTGAACAGGAAGTTAAAGCAGGACTGCATCTATCTCCAGCAGAACAAGTTGTCACGGTTACCAATAAACCAATCAAAGATATCCGATTTTCACAATTCCGTGCCAAGGTTTCAGGAACAGTTGTATGTATGGGTAAGAGCGATTTCTTATATACTCCCTGGCAATCTGTACATTCTGAACATTGAGCTGCTCGAGGGGAGATTAGTGGGGTCAATATCGGCATTCAGATATTATATAGAGGGAAATATATGGAAGACCAAATGGGACAATATTCATGATTCTTGTTTCTACATTCCAGTTTGAACATTTTAGACTCGAACGCAACATTCTAAACTAATGATTCTTGTTTCTACATTCTTATGTCAACATTTCATGCACAAAATCAACATTTTAAACAAAAAAATTGACTTTATGTTTCATTTTCGGCGTTTTATCAGTAACTTTTATATATCATTAAATATTAAAATTAAAAAAATAATTTCTTAATTTTACATGACAAAGAAATCAGTTCATTGGTTTCTGAAAGTATCTAAAAAAAGTTATGGAATTTGAACCCTTATGAAAATATTTTCTACGTTTCAAAAAGTCTTGAAGTTAAAATCTTGAAATGAAAATGTCCAGAAAAATATAATGAATTATCAACATTATTACACCAGAGGGCGTTAGCGTATGTGTACAACTTTGATACAAACTATAGATTTATCATCCATTTTTGCCACATTCGCAACACGCGTAGGTCTAATTTGCAAACACTATCCTATAGTTATAGTTAATATGAAAAAATAAACAAATAACAGTGAATAGATTCCATTTAAAACACAGCATTATCATCCATTTTTGCCATATTCGAAACACGTGTAGGTCTAATTTGTAATTGTAAACATATGAAAAAGTAAACAAAGAACAGCGAATATGTAAGAAAGGCCTTTGTCCTAATTTTTCTAGCTGTTTAAATTATAGAAGTTATTTGTATTGTTATTATATCTCGAGCTTAATTTCTGTTTCATGCAACTAATTACTGTAAACACAACAGGGGTCCACTTCCACTCGTGGAAAAGTCTACTTTTGATTTCTAATCTATAGTCTGTATCAAGGTTGTACACATACGCTAACGCCCTCTGGTGTAATAATGTTGATAATTCATTATATTTTTCTGGACATTTTCATTTCAAGATTTTAACTTCAAGACTTTTTGAAATATTTTCACAAGAGTTCAAATTCCAGATTTTTTTTAGATACTTACAGAAACCAATGAATTGATTTCTTTGTCGTGTAAAATTAAGAAATTATTTTTTTAATTTTAATATTTAATGATATATAAAAGTTACCGATAAAACGCCGAAAATGAAACATAAAGTCAATTTTTTGTTTAAAATGTTGATTTTGTGCATGAAATGTTGACATAAGAATGTAGAAACAAGAATCATTAGTTTAGAATGTTGCGTTCGTGTCTAAAATGTTCAAACTGGAATGTAGAAACAAGAATCATGAATATTGTCCCATTTGGTCTTCCATAGAAATAGGGTTTAAACTTTCCTCACCTTATATAGATATTATATCATAGAGAAATGTGGTAATATAGATATACTTTGACCTATATTATTATATTATAGAGAAATGTGGTAATATTGATATACTTTGACCTATATATTATATTATAGAGAAATGTAATATTGATATACTTTGACCTATATATTATTATATTATAGAGAAATGTGGTAATATTGATATACTATGACCTATATATTATATTATAGAGAAATGTGGTAATATTGATGTATCATTAGATGTTGTTGGTAGAACGGACAGTAAACAAGTTGTACAGGTAAGAGGATATATACAATTGAGTCTGTCAATCGAATCGTGATTCTCCATGGAATAAGCATGCCAAGTTTCATGTTGATTGTAATTGGTGGAACCTAAGCCTTTGTACAATACAAAAGGATTAAAGAAAAGTTCTAACAACTTATAAATATCTTCTCCTTATAAAATATTAATTGATGAGAATATTTCAAATGATAGATTTATTTTTTTAACATATAATTAAGAAATCAAAACGGAAACATCAACAGTACATAATCAATCTCCTGAGCTTTCTTCTACCCTGTGGAAGTTGGCCTTTTCCTTTACATGTACGCAACTAAATACGATAAAGGTATTAATTATATACTGATTATATTTTTAATATATTATATTATAGGTAAAGGATAGTGGTAAAGGATATACATTTTCATTGGATAATGTGATGCCAGGAAAATATAAAGGTTTGTCCTTTCTCTATGATAAATAAACGTAGTTTAGATAAGTCTGGTCACATATTTTCCATTAAGGCCAAACCCATTTCATTTTTTGTTATTTGGGTTCTTGATAAGTAAATATCCACTTCGGTCTTGCGAGAGCTGTTTCGTTTAAAAAATTTTTAAAACTTAAAGTTTTTAAACATGCAACAAAGTACTTTTTGTTTTCAAATGAACCTGTCTTCATTAGCCAATTCGGAACAGACCAGTAGGATGTTAAACCTCATTTCATTTCATTTTTAAATTAATATGAAGAACAATTTTAACTGGTGTTTCCGATCTAACAGAAGTTCTTGTGGCCTAATTTGAACATTTTCTAATTGGGGAAAATGACAGTAAACCCTGTCTAATCTGACCGCAATTAAAGGTCAGTTTAGACAGGTTTTATTTATAGTATAAAATGATCCCATTTACTGTATATTATATTTCTGATATAGTTCATTTTGAGATGAGTATCTTTTTAAGTGTCATTTCTCTTTTTTAGTAACGATTTTACAAGACACTTGGTGCTGGAAGGAAAAGTCTACAGAGTTTGATGTAGTAGACTCGGACGTCACAGGTTTAACTTTCACTCAAACTGGTTATATATTGAAGTGTAGCGTATCTCATCCCATTGATATAGTAAGTTTCTACCCAATTGAGGGGGTCACGATGGCCAAGTGGGTACGATGCTAGCTCGCTAGGCTGGAGGCCGAGTGTTCGATCCCTGCATTGGCCGAGAAAGTTCATCCAGATTTTCCGGCATGGTTACCCCTTGTCAGTGATGCAGGACGGAGAGCCTGACAAGAACAGCTGTCGAGTCGTTTGGATCGGACGAAAATCGAGGTCCTGTGTACACATTTGCGTGCACGTAAAAGATCACTTGACAGTTGGAATTCGATATAAGTGTAGGCTGTAGTGCCGCTGTGCTTGCCAAATTTTCCTCATAGCACACTGTATGGCGTATGCCCATCTTCATTAGTCCAGTTCGGAGCAGAATAGATGGACGTTAAATCCCATTTCATTTTTCATTTCTGCCCAATTGATAGTCTGCTAAGCTTTAAACTGTTTAATCATGGACCCGTTTGATTTCTCTTTTAGAATTCATTGATATGATTTCTCTTTTAGAATTTATGTGATTTCTATTTTAGAATTTATTTATATTTATTTGATTTCACTTTTAGAATTTATGTGATTTCTATTTTAGAATTTATTCATATTTATGTGATTTCTATTTTAGAATTTATTTATATTTATTTGATTTCACTTTTAGAATTTTGCTCATGAAAAGAAGAAAGGATCAGTTGGATCATTCCAGTTGAATAAGGGAACCAATCGTTTCTGTCTGGCTCAACCAGGTGTTTATCGTCTAACACCAGACTCATGTCATAAGTTTGAAAAGGATGTTTATACATATGACACGTAAGTTATAAAACAAAATAATTCCTGTTAAGATTTCAAGAACTAAAGGCAAAAAATTCTTGTGGGCTAAGATTAAAGTAATACAGACAAAAACTTCTCATGGGTTAAGATTCAAGAAATACAGGCAAAAAGTTCTCGTGGGATAAGATTCAAGAAATACAGGCAAAAAGTTCTCAAGGGTTAGGATTCAAGAAATACAGGCAAAAAATTCTCATGGGTTAGGATTCAAGAAATACAGGCAAAAAATTCTCATGGGTTAGGATTCAAGAAATACAGGCAAAAAATTCTCATGGGTTAGGATTCAAGAAATACAGGCAAAAAATTCTTGTATTCATGAAATACAGGCAAAATATTCTTGTATTCAAGAAATACAGGCAAAAAATTTTTGTGGGTTAAGATTCAAGAAATACAGGCAAAAAGTTTTCAAGGGTTAAGATTCAAGAAGTACAGGCAAAAAGTTCTCGTTGTGCTTTACTTAAGATGCATAACAACATTCTGGGTTGGTTAATCATCAGGGGAAGCGAGTCAGAGGCTCACTAACCAGTAGGTCCCTGGTTCGAACCTGGTGTTGGTTAAGATAGTTCCTCAGGATTATCCAATAATATCTTCCTTTGTCAGTGGTGCAGGATAGAGGTCCTGGCAAAGAAAAATATCTAGTCGTTCATATTGAATGCAACGCTATATGCAAGTTGGTGTGCACATAAAAGAACCCTTGACGATTGGTGTATGATGAAGATTAGGCGGAAATGTCACTGTTCAAGCAATATTTCCTTCTTAGCACACTGAATATGCATCATCATTTTCTTGTCAGTGGTGCGGGATGGATGGTCTGTTAAGGACAGTTGTCTAGTCGGTCATATGTTGCGAAAAACCGAGGTCGCGTGTACACGTTGATATGCAAGTTGGAATTCGATATAAGAGTAGGCCATAGTGTCGCTACCCAGGCATAATTTCCCTTATAGCAGACTGTATGGCATATGCCTGTCTTTCATAAGCCCAGTTGGAGCAGAACAGTAGGACCTTAACCCCATTTTGTTGCATTTTATTAGCAAAAGGTAGAATGTTAAACCCCATTTTATTTCCCTTCTTGTACTGTATTTTGTACTGTATTTTGCAGGTCGAACCCTATGATGTTAACATTGACTGCTACACAACATCGTGTTACTGGTAGTATTAAAACAGACGAACTTGTTAATGATATGGTGGTTACAATCAAGTAAGTAGTCAGTTATTGACAAGGCAGGGAATATTATTTATATACAAATCACAGATCACTTGCCTTTTGCACAGTGGCTCAGTGAGTAAGGCGCTGGCTCATTAACCAGGAAGTCTCGGGTTCGATCCTGGTGTTGGTTGAAAAAATTCCTCATGATTTTAAGGCATGGTTTCAACCTTTCAGTGGTGTAGAACCGTGGGCCTGACCAGGAATAGGGTCTAGTCCTTGGGATCTCTCTCTCTCTCTCTCTCATTTGTCCTATTCTGTAGAGTTACTTCTCTTATTTGTCCTATTCTGTAGAGTTACTTCTCTTATTTGTCCTATTCTGTAGAGTTACTTGACTGATGAACATTGCGGATGTAAATTGTATATATTGATATATGGTACATGTTCAAGGAGTAAATTAGAATAATATTGTTATGTTTTAGTCTTAAAATGACCTAATTATCGAACTACTATAATGCATGGCTAGGGTTCTTCTTTCAGATCTTCGATGGATGATACACCTCTTGTGATTGGACCATTAAAGCAGGATATTGATCCTAAAGCCAAACCACAGGATTCTGCTAAAGGACCTTTTACTTACAGATTCTCTCATTGGTCAAGGTAAGAATTGCTGCTTTATCTTTTGAAGTAAAAATTTTAATAGTATATATCTTCTGATCAACCATATTGAATACTTAATTTTCCAACAACTCCATCCTAAGTATGTTTTTGATAAACATGTCTACATCCTTCAATGTTCTCAACTCCATCTTAGATTTGTCTAAAAATCCTTTATGCTTCAGCAGCCATGGTGGGTAAGTGGGTAAGACGGTGGCTTGCTAGCCTGGAAGTCTCGTGTTCGATCCCTGCCTTGGTCGAGAAAGTTCAATAGGATATTCCAACGTGGTTTCACCTTTGTCAGTGGTGCAGGATAGAGGGCCTGACAAGGACAGCTGTCTTGTCATTTGGATGGGACAAAAAATAAAGGTCCCGTGTATACATTGGCGAACACTTAAAAGATCCCTTGAAAATTGGAATTTGATATAAGAGGAGGCCGTAGTGCCACTGTCCAAGCCAAATTTCCCTCATAGCACACTGTATGGCCTATGCCCGTCTTCATTAGCCCAGTCGAAACAGAACATTAGGATATTCATTTGTGGTTCCCAACACCAACTTAAATATGTGTCTAGAGAAACAGGCTAAATCATTTACAGTCCCCAACTAGTCCTAAATTTGTCTAGATAAACATGTCTAAATCCTTTTATGTTACCAACTCCATCCTAAATTTGTCAAGCTTAACATGTCTAAATGGTGGATATTCCTTATCCACATGATTCATACCAGCTGAAAGTAAAAAAAATTTTTAGTTTTCATTTAAGAACAGGAAGGAACCCTTCTGAATTCTCGAACAAACTCTCCTGAAATCTGGAACAAGAACTACTAAAATCTGAAACAAAGCCAGTGAAATCTGGAACAGCTCCTGTAATTAATTATATTTTAAATATTGTATGATTCAGGTCTGGTGAGAAGATGACTATATCTGTGAAATCAGCAGAAGTTTTATTTTATCCACCTTCTATAGAAACATCAATATCAGGAGGTTGGTTTCACTATTTATTTTCGCTGGTTGAATGGCCGAATGGTTAGCATGTGCGCGCTGTATCATAAGGTCTGTTATTGAGTCAACTGGCTTGGTTTCAATTCCCCGGTTGTACGTGACAAGGAATAGGGTCGCCTGTCCAA